TATTAATGATCACAGATGCAAACAACTTAAACATATGCTTCTTCTGCAAAGAGCAGAAAATCAGCGCAGAATCTGTTGTGGCTTAATCAGCTGGTCACAGCTCTAAACAAGAAGTAGCTGCGGGGGGAGGAGCGAGGCTGCTTGGCTGTCATTAAAATGGTGTGGATGGAAGGAGCAGGCTAATTGACTGAACAACAGCTTGGGCCGTGTAATTAAATTAATTGTGACTCTACCTGTGACATTCATTTGTGTGGTTAGTAGTGCTCTGCCAAACAGGGGGAGGAGTGTGAAAATATCTTTCACAAACATTGCCACGGGTATTTTTGCTGTTTTGTTTCAGGCGATTTCATACCCCTGAAATTTTGTTTTTCTGTGAAATTTGAGGAGTTGGTTAATATTTCACATTGAAGGATGTGAAAACACAAAAGGTCGCTGCTGATCTCAATTTCAGCTTGCCACATTTGAAGCAGAGGTTGTGCATTTTCAGGGGGATTTTTTGTTTTTAAGTGGAATTCTCCCAAAATTAAGGCTTTCAGAAACAGAGGTTTGATCCAACACTCATTGGAGTGCATGGGAATGTGGGCACTGGATCACACCCCAGCAGGTACCCAAAGTTAGGCCCCTAATGGCTCAGTGCTTAGCACTTTTGATATTCAGGTCACTTATTTAGCCGCCATAGATTTAGGACCCTAACTTTTGATAAGTGCTTTTGAAAATTTCAGCTTGAGTTTACAATGTGTGCGAAGCAGGCTGCATGCAGAAACCCACCACTGCATCACATTTAAGTGCTCTGGCCCCGTTTTCAAGGCTCTGCAGAGCACAGCCCAACTCCTGCTTGTAGCTCTGATCTCATTAATTATAATTACATGGGGTTTACAGTGCCCCAAAGTGTGCTAGGCACTTTACAGAACAATTAATGTGACATGATGGAGAAGCTGAAAAGTACTCTGCTCTCATCAGGGAGCCAGTGTAGGGCTTGGAGCTCAGGAGTTGGTCTTTATGAAGACCTGTGTTCCTGAGGTAGTGGCTGTTGCATTTTGTACCAGTCGGATGGTGTGCGATTACATTCCTAGACATGACTGCAGTAATCAAAGTGGAAAGCAACTAATGCATGGGTCACTCTGGCCCGGATGGTGTCTGATAAGAAGGGGTACAATCTCCTGGCCTAGTCACATATGGAAGTGGGTGTTTTTTGCTGCCAAGGCTATTTGGGTATCGAGGAGCCTGAAAAATCCCCAAGGCTGCAGATCAGCACAAGCATTTGAGGGCAGACCCCCTTCAAAAGTGATGGATTTTGTGGAGTAATCATTGTTCAAAGTGCTCCTCTCTTCTAAGTAGCACTGCCTCAGCTCTGCCTCGGTTCAGTTTTAACCAGCTGCTGATTTTGGCTAGCCACTGAGGAAGCTGGGAGAGGGTGCTGTTCACACCTGATGTATAGGTGATACAGAGCTGGGTGTCACCTGTGGGCTACTCGCATTTCAGCCCACATGGCCTGTCCCAGCAGACTGCATTTTCCCCTCACTGATGCCCACTTTCTTCCACCTTCAGTTTCTGTCGCACAATCATCCTACAACGCTAGTGATGTGTGAAACTGGTGGGGTACATGGGGGCACTGCAATGTTACTGTCTATAGCAGTAGTCCGGGGGTAGTTGTGATGCCTCACTGATTCTTCCTCTCCTTGGCCTCTTGGTTGGGTTGAGTGTCCTATAAATCAGTTTTGGCAGGGTTCAAAAGTTTAGCCACCTCCAGGTGGAGATAAAACAATCTCCTCATTGCAAGCCAAGATGAAACCTCCAGTACAGTCCAATTTCTCTCCATCCCCACCCTAAATATAGAAAGTGTAACATATTGTCATGTAATCATCATTTCTTTAAGTGGTATGACTGTAGAAGCTTGGGAAAGGAGCAAAGGGAGAATGGGGGTTATTTATTTTAGACATCAGCCTACATATAGCTTCTGTCTCTGAGCAAAAGAGTCAACATGGCTTTGGCTGATCCTTGGTTGCTCTAATTTGTTATGTCTCTAGGCAAAGCTAATTGTGCAGACAGCCCACCATAGAGTTTTTGGTGCTGCCTCTTCTGTGTAGTTTTGTAAATAGTCCTTTTATTTCCTGACACATTTTCTACAATCTTTTTGCTCTAAAAAATGAGTAGTTTAAATACCAGGATTGGGTGGGTTGCTCTTTTGGATCGGGTTAGCAGATTGAGTGGGACAGAGTGATGATCTGATAATTCAACCTTTCTTTTCAAATGTCAGGAAATGGGCTTGTCAAGGTTCCTTCCCCACTCTGAACTCTAGGGTACAGATGTGGGGACCCGCATGAAAGACCCCCTAAGCTTATTCTTACCAGCTTAGGTTAAAAACTTCCTCAAGGTACAAACTTTGCCTTGTCCTTGAACTCTATGCTGCCACCACCCAAGCGTGTTAAACAAAGAACAGGGAAAGAGCCCACATGGAGACATCTTCCCCAAAATATCCCCCCAAGCCCTACACCCCCTTTCCTGGAGAAGGATTGGTTAAAAATCCTCACCAATTTGTCCAAACCCTTGATCTTAAGAACAATTAAAAATCAATCAGGATCTTAAAAGAAGAATTTTAATGAAAGAAAAGATAAAAGAATCACCTCTGTAAAATCAGGATGGTAAATAACTGACAGGGTAATCAGATTCAAAACATAGAGAATCCCTCTAGGCAAAACCTTAAGTTACAAAAAGACACAAAAAGAGGAATATACATTCCATTCAGCACAGCGTATTTTACCAGCCATTAAACAAAAGGAAATCTAACGCATTTCTAGCTAGATTACTTACTAACTTAACAGAGTTTCTGAGACTTCAATCCTGATCTGTTCCCGGCAAAAGCATCACGCAGACAGACAACCCTTTGTTTCCCCCCTCTCCTGATTTGAAAAGATCTTGTCTCCTCATTGGTCATTTTGGTCAGGTGCCAGCGAGGTTATCTTAGCTTCTTAACCCTTTACAAGTGAAAGGGTTTTGCCTCTGGCCTGGAGGGATTTTATAGCACTGTATACAGAAAGATGGTTACCCTTCCCTTTATATTTATGACAGGGCTATTCTGGCATTTGTGTCATGGGCTATTGAAAAGAGTCTCTTTTCCCTTGGAGTTTCTTGTGTCTCAAAGTATCAGCTGAGCCCTAGTTCTGAAGGGACAGTTAACAATTTGTTGGAGAAAGGAATTACATTGATCAAAATTGGCCTTGTAGCATGCAGGAAAGTGATTTGAGTCTCTATTCTGTGTAGGGTGGGTGGGAAGCAGAAGCTTTTGTGGCACCTCATTTATAGTATAAGAATTACAGTTATTTTCTTGTCCCTCCCATTCCCTTTTATCATCACCATACTTTTTCTACCTTCCTTGTTAGATTATACGGCAGAAGAAAATCTATCTATTGTATTTAATAGGGTGCCAATCACTGTAGTTGCTAGGACCCAATAATACCACTTAACATGTTTGTGGTAGTTACATTATGTTCAAAGCACTTTGGAATCATTCGCTAATGAATACTCACAGCGAGGCAAATGTGTATTATTATCTCTCTAAACTGAGACTGAGAGGTTAAATGACTTGCCCCAGGCCAGCTGTAGCCACTAGACACTGCTGCCTCTTCACTGCATTATTTTGTATTCTAATACTTGCCCTATTATTTTTTGAATTTGCAAATTTTGTTGCCCCAACAAATCTCTCTGGAGGATTGTAAGGATGGTATCATTGAGTATAATACAAGCTCCTCTTAGTGGAGCAGGGTGCCAATGCATGGCTTATATCCTCTACTTAGGGCCTCAGGTCAATGGGAATTTTCAGTGGGCTTTGGGTCAGGCTCTTCTGCCTTATGTTGAGGGCTTCAAAGGGACTTAAGTGGTGCAGAGGCCCATGCTGGCCCTCAGCTATACGGGTGAATTTCATCTGGAGAGACTACCAGTAGAAAATGACGATTAGATACATTCACACACCATATTGCGCAACGAAAGAGACTCAAACCTCACAACAAAGTGCAGGAGGGTCTGCCGTGGCATGGGAAGCCATCTTCATGTTGTGACCCCTTTTGATCTGAGCAGTTAGCCAAATGCAGCATCTTGTGGGTTGTTCCAGTTAGCAGTAGAAATTGGTGATAGTCAGGTATTTCTTTGATGCAGTCCTGTTTATTTACCAAGTCCTGTTTCCGTGAGCACAGGAAGAACCAAAGAGGAGAGACAGTGTCCTTTCTTACAAGGCCAAGACTTGTTCAGTGAGCACCCTGACCCAAAACCTCTCTCTTGGGTTCCTGGGGGCCACACCCTGTGCTTGCAGGCAGTGTCTGCTTGGCTTTCTTTCTGCTTCTCTCTGTCTCTCTCTGTGTCCTGTGTCTTCTGCTTCTTTTACACACACTCCCTTATCCCCAGAGGCCACTCAAGCCAATCTGCTGTCCTAAGCCAAACTTTTGCAGCAGGAACCCACTCCCCACCTACCCCCTGCAACTCTCCCCTGGCCTCCTCCAGCCCCTGGGGCCAGACCTTCAGCCCCCAGCAACCTTTCCCCTGGAGCTGCTCAGCTCAACTACAACAGGACCTGGGCTTCTCCTGCCCGGCCCTCTGCACCTCCAGCCCATCCCAGCCCTGCCCCTGCACTCCCCATCCCCAACCCTCACCCCCTGCCTGGCCCCCAGCACCCTCCGCACCTCCCACCTGACCCTGCACCTTTCCAGATGAGCTGTTCGCTGTTGGGTTTGTAGTATGGGGCAGCTGAGGAACAGGTGCGGAGAAGTTTACATGACTTGCTGAAGGCTACACAACGAGTCAGTCCGTGAGCGTTCAGGAGGATGTGGCTCATAGTCCTATGTCCCTATCCCACTGTTTTGGGCAAAGAGCAACTTCTCCTTCCACTTTCTCCTCAGAGGTACCAGCAGGAGCTTTGTCCAACTCACCAGTCCCATTTAATCTGAGATCAGCTGGGACTGAGAGTGTCATTCCTGCCCCTTCAACCCATGCGGTAAACGTGAGCAGCTATGGGGAAGATTGACAACACATCTGTGGAGTTGAATTCACCCTCCGGGGTGAAGCAGGCAGCCATTGAGGAATTCGAGCCAATTGGCCAAGGAGATGGGAACACCAAGAAGATGAAGGAGCTCCCAGACAGAGGTTCTTGGAAGGGCAAATTTGACTTCCTGCTGTCGTGCGTGGGCTACGCCATTGGGCTGGGCAATGTCTGGCGGTTCCCATATCTCTGTGGCAAGAATGGAGGAGGTGAGTGTAGAATGCTAAACACGTTTTCCTTTATATCAGCCTCAACCCAAGGGTCTAGTTAGTGTTTTGAAATTTGTCTGCACACTGACTGATTCTTTTCCCTCCTGTCCTGCCCTCAGTGTACCCACGATTCACCACATCAGATATACTGAGGCAGCATAAGCCAATTGCCAGCTGAGATCAGGAAGAAATCATAGTAATGCTTTGCATTTCCATACAGCAGTGCCTTTCACCCATGGATGGATCGTACGGGCATGAATGAGTTAAGCCTCACAACACAGCTGTTAGTATTACACAGCAGTTAGTATTACTATCTCCATTTTACAGGTGAAGAAACTGAGGTACAGAGAGGTTAAGTGATTTAACAATGGTCACTGAGGAATTCTGTGGCACAGATGGAAATAGAGCCCTTCTCTTCATGTACCCAGTGTCTTGCTAAGTGCTATCACTTCTTACTCTTCAATTCCACTAAAATCCCTCTTTTCCTCACTGCCCCCTTGGCTAAATCCCTTGGCCTTACCTTGGTCATCTCTTAAAGTGTGTGAGAGTGGTGGTCTGATGGAAGCAGGGCACTGGACTAGGAATCAAAGGAACTGGACTCAATTCCCTGCTCAGCCACAGACTCCTGTGACTTTGGCAGATCACATAATCCACGCTGTGCCTCCGTTCTGTCTCTATAAACTGGGGCTATTTGTACTAGCCTGGCTCACAGGGATAAAATCCATCAGTGATTGAGGCACTAAAATATTCCAGTGATGGTAGTCATAGAAGTACCTAGATAGCCTCGATTTTCTGTAGTCCTCTCCTCCCACCCCCCCCACCATTTTTTCAAAGCTCTGCTGCAAACATCACCTTCCTCTCTCACTGCTTCATCCATGTCACTCACTTTCTCCACTTGTCTCACTGGCTTCCCATCCCTTACCATGTCTAGGTCAAACTCCTTCTCCTCACCTCCAAAGCTACAAATAATCTCAGCTCCAGCTGTCACTAGGTTCACATTTCTTCCTACTTCCTTCCACACCCTCTTCACTTCGCCCCACTCCATCATCATCTCCCAGTCTTGGTTTTCCCCCTCCAGTCATGCTACCCCCTATGCTTGAAAAACCTTCCCCTCCTAGGCCACCAGTCTTCTTTTCCCCATCCTTTAAATTCCTCCTAAAAACTCACTTCCTCTCTGACCTGCTTGTCCTCCTCATGAGCAATCTCTCCCACCCCTTCCTTACTGTACTGTTGTCCCATGTCTGATATTGCCTGTGTCTGTTTCATCTAGTTTACATTTTGGGAAAAGAGACCTGTCCAACTGATCACAGGTGTCCTGACTCCCTGTCCCCTACGCTAATCACTAGACAATGCTCTGCCCATGAAATTCCACCACAGCAGATTATCGAATCATAGAAATGTTGGGCTGGAAGGGACCACAAGAGGTCATCCAGTGCAGGGGTTCTCAACAGTTTTCTTTCGGAGGCCACTCCCAACATGCTATCAAAGCTTCGCGGCCCAGCTGTGCCACAACTGTTTTTCTGCATTTAAAAGCCAGGGCTAGCATCAAGAGGTAGCAAGCAGAGCAATTGCCCTGGGCCCCACACCACGGGGGAGACCACAAAGCTAAGTTGCTCAGGCTTTGGCTTCAGCCCCAGGTGGTGGGGCTTGGTGCCCCTGGCTGCAGTTCTGCACAACGGGGATTTGGCTTTCTGCCCTGGACCCTAGAAAGTCTGCCACCAGGCATGCTTGGCGGACCCCCTGAAACCTGTCTGTGCCCCCCCCCCCCGCTCTCCAGGTGGCCCCGGACGCCTGGTTGAGAACCACTGATCTAGGGCAACCCTTTGCACCAAGGCAGGACCAAGTAAACCTAGACCATCGCTGACAGGTCTTTGTCTAACCTGTTCTTAAAAAACCTCCAAAGATGGGGATTCCACAACCTCCCCTGGAAGTCTATCCCAGTGCTTAACTACCCTTAAGTTAGAAAGTTCTTCCTAATAGCGTACCTTAGGTATCAGCTTTTACAGCTTCCTCTGAAGTATCAGGCACCGACTACTGTTGGCCACCAGGTGAGGTGGCCCAGTTTTCTATCCCTTCTGATATGACCGTTCCTGTTTTCTTATGTCAATTCATAAGGAATAACGGTTTTATGGTGAAGTACCGAGAGACAGGAGAGGTAGTTTTTATTGCTGGTTCTGCCACACTGGGGGTGCATGATCTCAGACAAGTCACGGCACCTCAGCTTGGCTGTTTCTTCATAAATAAATTGGAGATGATAATATAGACCTCAGGGGTGATATGAAGCTAAAATAATTCCTCTCTGCAAAACATGCTGAGCCCCAAGGAGGGACGTGCCAAGTGCTGCTGTGTAGTGTTACAAATCCAGCACTATATGATCTCTAACACAGCAGGGGCAGGGACACAGAGCAATCCAGCAGGATGTTCAGAAAATGCTGGATGAGTCTAGCAAATTTGCCAGTTGCCATAATAAACATTGCTCTCAGGAAATGTAAAGTCGTGCGCTGTGCCTGCATACCCCATGCTGCTGGTCCATGCTGGCTGTTCATTGCCATCTACATCAGTCACTCCTCTGGTCCCCTTCCAGTCTGGCTACCAACAAGCAGCCTTTTCTGCAGCCTGCAACAATGAGCAGCAGTGGAGGCTGCTGACGTCTGCAAATAAGCAGGCAAAGGGACACCCAAAGCTCTGCTCGAAGCCAATTTAAAGCAGAGAGGAAGGATCAGTCAGCATCTGACTCAGAACCGGGTAGGCAACGCCTCCCGCACCTAGGCTGAGGCACCTTCACTGCTGAGCAGACAGTGGGTGGAACTCCAAGGATATATCCGCACGTGCAGTGTTGAAAGCAAAGTTGTGTGGGCTGCTTCCATTACGCATGGGCAAATTGAACGGAATGACAATATTGTCGTTTCACTTACCGCTGTCATATCGGATCTATCCCCAGTTGATTTAATCTGGGTTCTAATCAGGGATATAGTGAGGGTGAGATTCATCCCAGGTAGACATACCCTTAGCACTGAATGTCGCTCAGTAGGTCCTCAAAATTGTCTGATGAGAAATTTAGACTGTGCATACCTGATAGTGAATGTTTCTTTACCTGCTAAAGACTGGCATTTGACCTTGATTGAGGCTACAAGCAAAAACATATTGGTGCTTTTATATCCTGGTAATTAATCAGTGGGCAGTGGTGGCCATTTTATTTACTAATTATTAGTAGTATTTGTTTGTATCACATTAGTGCCTAGAGGCTCCAACTAAGATTGGGGCTGCATTGTAGCAGGTGCAGAACAAACCCGGTCCCTGTTCCAAACAGCTAAATCTAAATAGAGAAGGCAAATAAGGCAAGGAAGTAAGGAAAGATTATTTTCATCCCCCAGAGACTGACTTGCCCCAGATCACACTGGAACGGAACCCAGATCTCCTGAGTCCCATCCATTTGGTTTTGCGCTCAGAACTAAAAATGAGCACGCTGAATTTTACCAACATTTCTCCAAACCATTTCAGCCCAAGGTGTAATTTTCCTCTCAGAATGTTATAATAGGGTGGCCAATGATGCATCCCCAGAATACAGGACATTGCCTTGTTTGTCTCCACCCCTCCTTGGGTGATCCTGCCCCAGCCTGTGTGACCTCACACACTGCAGGGGCGGAGCAGCACACTCTGCACAATGGTGTCTTCTGTGAGTGATACCAATTTTATATCAGTACTGGACAGGAAACAAACCATACAAAAACTGGGTGGTCTGGCTGAAAACTAGACAAATGGCCTGCCTGTGTCATAAGCGCCTGATTATAGAGTCCTTTCTCAGCTGGTGGCCCCACCAGAGTGGCTATGTAATTAGAGAAAGGCTAGAGCTGTGGGACTCAGATCAAGCCTTAGGTCTGAATTTGAATTTCCCCCCAATTAAAGGGGTGTTTGTATCTGCTGGTCTAGGTCAGCCCATCACAGAGAGAGGAATGGAAGCCCTGTAGGGCAGGGACCACTTGTTGTTACCTGTGTGTATAGCACCTGGCCCGACAGGGCCCCAATCACTGTTTTGTGCATGTCTAGGATCTACTACAATATGAATAAATACTAATAGCCTCAGAGATTGGATCTGACCTTTCCCAAAGTTCTTTGAAGGCTTGACTTTGATTTCTGGCTTGCGGGCATCCATTGCTAGCTAGAATGCTGTAGGGATGCTGATTGACACGTTTCTATGACAGTGCTGGATAATTTTTTTTAAGTCAAGATGTTGTTGAATATGAAAGCCGGCGCTTTTTGCCAGCTGGAAGTTCAAGCTCACAGCCATCAAGCTGCTTGCCCACAGCACACTGATCGTGTCCCCCTGCCACCTGCTGCCAACTTATGTTCCTGAGTCACTGCCCTAGACCCATGTAAAGGGACTTGAAGCCAACTTTCCACTATGGTGCTCAGCTGTTTCTCAGCTCCCGTTGGGCCTCAGCTGTTTACCCACTTAGTCAGCAGTCCTAACTGATGTGATGTGTCTTTGCAGGGCCATCCCTAGTGGTTTGGTGGAGCCCAATACTGTCAGAGATGGACCCAGCCACAATGATCCATGATTTCAGGATGTCCAGGCTTGATTATTGCAAACCCCTATACCTGAGACTGAATATGCAAATTCTGTGGGAAAAAAACCTCCAGCTAATCCAGAATGCAGCAGCGCTCTGCTAAGTGACCCTGGGAGGCAGGAGTGTACCACTGCAGTGCCCCAGTCATGTCACTCCCACCTCACTAAACAGAGTGCCCGTTCAAAGTCATGGTGCATATCTTCAGAGCTCAGGGGGTTGGGTCTGAGGTAGCTGAGCAACCACTGCTCTCTACACAATTAGGACCCTCTGTGACAGTATCCATCCTAAGGGCAATGGACATCTCTACAACCTGTGTTAGACCTGCGAAAGCTGGAGTCTGAGCTTTCTCAACAGCCATCCCATGCCTGCAGAACTGCCTTCCTCAAGAAATCTGACTGACCTCAAATCTCACTGCCGGCGGGTCCCGCTGTAAGACCCAGCTGGTTTGCCCTAGCTTTCTACAACAATAAAACAATAGCTAACAAATAAACTAATGGCTCATGCCAAAGACTCCTGTCTGCTGTTGGCCTGGTTGGGAGAGAGAGAGAACAAATCGCCCATGAACTACCAGTTCCTGTTTGTTTTCTTGCCTTGGTCTCAGATATCACGTTGAAGAGAGTGGTATAAATATCTAGACTGATATGTCAGATCGGCACATGGGTGCTGGGGTAGAGGGTGATGGAGATGTGAGAAGGAAGAAGTGACAGAGAAAGATACAGTCCAAATAGTAATTTAACAGCCACCACGGAACACCCTTATCCACCATCAAACAGAGGGATCAAAGCTGGGGGTGGCATCTTAGCTTGAGAACTGGAGCTGGAACAGAGCATTGGGATTGCAACGTGAGCCCAGGGATTTGTGCAGTAACTATGAGCTGAGCTTTACATTTCTTGTGGAGAAGAGGTCGCCAGGGCCCCAAAAAGTCTTGTGGTGATGAGACCTTGCAGAACCTGCTGCTAACAGCTGTTTGTTCTTCCAGGGGCCTTCTTGATTCCCTATTTTCTGACACTGGTGTTTGCTGGGATTCCTCTCTTCCTGCTGGAGACAGCTCTTGGCCAGTATACCTCTGTTGGTGGATTGGGGGTCTGGAAATTAGCGCCTATGTTCAAAGGTACTGTACTGTAAGTCCATGATGCTGATGCCCTATATCTAGCTTTAGAGCTGAAACCATTTACTGAAATGGGAAGCAAAACCTCAGGGACTGGGACATAAGCCCTTGGGGAATGGGTGGTGAGTCTCTGGAGACTGTTACATCTGATCTATGGTATTTGTAGGGTCCCCTTCACCTTGGTGTCTAGGCATCAATAACACTCCAGCCCTCTGTTTGAATGACCTTTGATAGTGACAAAATGCTCAGGTAGACAACACTGCCTTGATGGAGGCAAATGACTGAATGGAGCCACCTGGCACACCGGGATTGTACTTAAAACGAGATGCAGTAAGTTGGCGGGGAGGACTGTGCTGCTCTGTACCAGCAGAACCCTGTTTACTGTACACTAAAAGGTTGGCTGTCTACCAGTTGGGCGTAAACCTGTTGTGTTTGCAGTAACAACATATGGGAGGCTACTGGTGAATTAGAATAATAAGTGTTTTTATTGGGAGACTAATTCAATTACAGGAGCAGGCAGAGACACAGCTGGTTCCCCCTCTTTGGTTTTCATAGAGCTCCACACATACAGTTCTGCTAGCAGGATACTGAAAGACACCACCATTCAATCTTTGAAACATGGGAGAGAGGCATGACATCCGAACAAGCCTTCACTGGCTGATCAGTGAACTTGAGGCACGGTGCACTGTCACTTACTGATCTCTGTGAGATGATTCACTTTTCCTAGGTGTACAAACCTTCGTCTCTCCTCTGTGCTGTCACTTCTCAGCTTGCCATCCCCACTTCAGCACAGGAGGCTTGTATCCATCTGCTCAATGCAACTCCATAGACTTTGGATGGCTTGTGTTGAACATGCTCTGTTTCTTCTCTCCTAGGAGTGGGCCTGGCTGCTGTGGTTCTCTCGTTCTGGCTGAATATCTATTACATTGTCATCATTGCCTGGGCACTGTACTATCTCTTCAACTCTTTCACTGCAGTGAGTTTCAGCCATTTCTATAAACCTTAATTGGCTCAGTGTAATTTTTGCAGTTCCTGTTTCTCTCATAAAATGTGGAGTTTAACATGTTACTTGCTGTCTGTGCCATGAAATATACAACATACAGCTTACAGATTGTGCAAAGGCTCGCTGAATGTTGCTGCTGGATCCGTTGCTGACACATTCTATGACATCAACTGTTCTGCATTATTGTGTGCTGATATTTTTCTTTTAGGGGTTATGCTCCCTTTATAAATCTTAAAAATCTGTCCCTCTGCCCCACAGCCTTTCACATTCTCCTTTCTGTCTATCATAGTCAGAGAGCGCCAGTCACGGTAATAGCGATGTGTTTCAAAAATGGCTTCTTCATGAGATTGTCTCATTACCATGGGCTTGGTTGTGAACCTAATTAGACCCCATTTACACTGCTCCCGTTCCATTGATTCCAGTGGAAAAGCACTTAAACACGTGCTTACATCTATCCCCTAAGTATGACAGCATTTAAGCAAATGACTTCTAGCATAGGCTTCAGTCCCATTGACTGCAACGAGATGCTTTCCTGAATTGGGACCTTGTGCCAGTGTATACGAGGTCAGAATGGAGCCTCGAGTCTGAAGTACATTTCTTCACAACTGAACCATTCTTATCAATCTAATGACAGAGCAGAGCTCCCTTACCAATCCATAGACATAAAGATATCTAATTCCATGGGTCCTGTGGGGTTCTATTTCGTTTAGACACGCCTGCTAAAATGTTGTACATGTACCATAGTTCAGTCCAGCTTCAGTTTTTAGTTGATTATGTTTTCCAGCATCTGTGAAGCCATTTGTCAAAATGTTCTTATTGCTTAGCACTCCCAAACCATGTGCGTGTAGTCTCCAGTGCCTTCTGAACACCTGCAGTACTTGTTGTTCTCTCTTAACCCCACACGAGCAAATTGTACAAGTGTCAGTTGTTGTGGTCCAGGTAGATCCCCTACATATTCCTGAACAAGACTTTACAACACAGGAGGGCAAACTATGGCCTGTGGGCCAGATCCGGCCGATCAGAGCTTTCAATCCAGCCCATGGGATTGCCAGCACCGTGGCGCAGCTGGGCTAAGGCAGGCTCCCTGCCTGCCCTGGCCCCGTGCTGCTCCCAGAAGCTGCCGGCACCACATCCCTGCAGCCCCTGGGGGAAGGGGCAGGCAGAGGGCTCTGAGCACTGCCCTCACCCGCAGGCACCGCTTCCCACAGCTCCCATTGGCCGGGAACGGGGAACCATGGCCAATGCGAGCTTTGGGGGTGGTACCCACAGGCGAGGGCAGTGCGCGACGGAGCCGCCTGCCCCACCCCCAGAAGCCACTGCCAGACATGCTGGTCACTTCCCGACGCGGGGCCAAGGCTGGCAGGGAACCTGCCTTAGCCCCACTGCATGCCGCTGCCACCCCGGAGCTGATCAAGGTCAGCAGCGCCGGGCCGAAGCCTGCACTCTGAACCCATCCTGCACCCCACCCCCCTGCCCTGATCCCCCTAGCCCCTTGCCACACCCCTTCTGCACCCCAGCCCCCTGCCCTGAGCCCCCTCCTGCACCCCAAACCTCCTCCCACACCCCGCACTCCCTCCCGCACCCCAACCCCTGCCCCAGCCCTACATTCATGGCCCTGAATGGAATTTCCCTACCTAGATGTGGCCCTCGGGCCAAAAAATTTGCCCCCCCCTGCTTTACAACCACAAAAGAAGAGTGTGCACCTGGAGAAGGCGTCCCAGCTTCCCTCCTGAGCCCACTGCGTCTTGGGACAGGGACTCTGGGAGTTCAGTCGGTGCTGCCTGTGCACCCAGGCAGTGCAGACATGACCTGGACAGCTGATGGTTTATGTGCCTGAATGCAGAAGATCGGAGATTTGATTCAAGGAGCTCACAGTTATCAGAACTATACCATCAGTTTCTTTAAATTAAGTGGAGATGGGTCTGCATCAACATCTCAGACTGGAGCATCCCCAAAATTTGGATCAAGGGAGCATTAAATCAGATCCCTGTCTGAATTTTGCAGCTCTAGAGTAAGATAAAGTGGGACCAAAAAATTAATTAAATAAATAAACACCACCCAATTCCCCACCCCTGCCACATCAGAAACTCCTTAATCACAGTCCTGCCCAGACATATTCCTCCCTGGGTTCGCTCCACTGAAGTGAATAGACCAGGGATGAATATGGTCAGCTGCCTCAGGCTCCCAAGGCTCTGGCTGTGGGGCTATAAAATAGCAGTGTAGATGTTTGGGTGCAGGCTGGAGCTTGGGCCCTGAGACCCTCCTGCCTTGTGGGGTCTCAGAGCCCAGGTTCCAGCCCGAGCCCAAATATCCACACTGCTATTTTTAGCCGCACAGCCTGAGTGTCATGAACCTGACTCAACTGACCCAGGCTCTGAGACTCAGTGCTGCGGGTTTTTCATTGCAGTGTAGACATGCCCTGACGCACCAAGTCAGGAAAGCACATGCTAAATCAGCCATTATTTGTAATGGGACCTAAGTGGGTGTTTAAGTGCTGTGCTGAACAGGGAGGGACATGAGCACACACGGAAGTGCTTTGCTGAATTGGGGCCTTAGTCCTGACTTTTCAAGTGCAACACAAATTGGCTTTTTAATTTTATAAATCAGGGCTGGGCAAACTTTTTGGCCCAAGGGTCACATTGGGGTTGCGAAAAGGTATGGAGGGCTGGGCAGGGAAGGCTGTGCCTCTGCAAACAGCCTGGCCCCTGCCCCCATCTGCCCCCTCCCACTGCCCACCCCCTGACTGTCCCCCTCAGAACTCCCCACCCATCCAACCCCCCCTGCTCCTTGTCCCCTGATCGCCCTCTCCCAGGACCCCTCACCCCTAACTGCCCCCCCGGGACTCCACCCCCTATACAACCTCCCCTGCTCCCTGTTCCCTGACCGCCCCTGCCCACCACCCCAAACCTCTGCCCCATCCAACCGCCCCCTGTTCCCTGACTGCCCCCTAGGACCTCCTGCCCCTTATCCAACACCTCCCTTCCCCCGGCCCTTACTATGCCGCTCAGAGCAGCAGGACAGGCTTATTGGAAAGCCTGGGAGGTGGGTGGGCGCAAGCCGCACTGCCTGCACAGCAGTGTGGCTGCGGGGGAGAGGGGACAGTGGGGAGGGGCTGGGGGCTAGCCTCCCCAGCCGGGAGCTCAGGGGCTGGGCAGGACGGTCCCGCGGGCTGGATGTGGCCCGCGGGCCATAGTTTGCCCACCTCTGGTATAAATCTAGGTACAAATAATATTTCAAACTCAAGCCATATGTTTATTTTTTGTTCAATAAAACCAAACCATTAGTTGCAGGTGAGGCTAACAAAAAGCTACAGTTACTTTAAATATGATATCCCTCAACCAATGAACTTTTGAGATCTAATGATGAAAAGCAACATGAGAGTGCCTGGTTTAATTAATAGCTATTAATCAATGACAAGCAATTTTAAACTTTTAAGCAATTAATGTCATTTTATTAAGGATTTGGTATTGCCCTAATCATAGCCTGATATTATTTCAAGGAATACTTTGTCTAATATTCTGGAAAGTGACTTGCACGTCTGGCTGCTGAGCTCCTGGCCTCTGACATTCAGACCCCTTTCAAGTGTCTCAAGATGTGTTCCCAAACATCTGGGCACCAAAAATCACTAACTAATCACCATTGCCATCGACTAATTCTACCAAGAAGATAAAGTGTGTGTGTGTGTCTGCGTGCACATATTTCATTTTAATATATCTGTATTTATCCAATCTCCAAAAAAGATACTTCTTTTTAAATTGCAGTGAACCTACTGTTCCTTATCCAGGAGTCATGTAGAGCAAAATGTGAATAAATCACTTTTCAATAGAGCAAAACCTCCTTCTGAAAGTAAGATAATTTTACAAGAAGTTTTGTGCCAGTATTCAGATGCATCACAAACATTCCGGACCATACACCTGCCTATATGCTGCACTAGGAACTATGAAGCCATTGATGTAAAATTGTTTTAATAGTATTAAGTTTATAAATAAGGTTTAATCTTTCATGTAAACTTTGATCTTTTGTGGTGATCAGGCATAAATATTTTACCTGTTCCTTGCCTTATATTGGCACAGGGTCATATGCCCAACAGCTCTCCTTCCATCATATCTTTGAGATGCCTACAGAGCCCTCTCCATCACATCTTCACATTCTCTGCAGTCTATCCAGCACATCCTTGCCTTCCCAAGCACGACCTCACATTCCTCACAGTTCCCCAGGTATGCCCTGGCATTCCCTCTACACTCCCCACTGGTGCACCCTCATGTTCCCAATGCACAGACATCCATGCATCCTGGCATTCCCGACAGTCCCACTCGGGTGCTTCTGGCTATTCCCCCCCAGGAGATCTTTGTCTTCTTTACACTACATCACAGTGCCTATTCACATTCCTCACAGTTCCTCAGGTGCATCCTAGTGTTCTTCCCAGGTCCCCAGCACGCCCTCATGCTGCACATGGGCTCTGGCATGGTCCTCCTTTCCCTACAGTTGTCTGCCCAGTACATCCTCATATTCCCAACGTCCTTGTGATCCCCAACCTCTACAGCATGACCCTTGGGATCTCCACTCATGTTCTCCACAGTTCCCCTATCACATCCCTGAGCTCTCCCACCCCACTATGTCTACATGTTCCCCACAATCCCCCCAGCATGTCCTGATGCTCCCTGCAGTCCTCATATTCTATAGTCCCTTCCACAACCCAATACATTTTCATATTCCCTACATCACCCACATTCCCCACACCAATATGGCTTCCCAGTCCCACCCTCTACTTGGTACATCCTTGTACTGCTGCAACTCCTCTTTGCCATGCCCTCATGACTTCAGCTACCTCTCCCTGTGTTTCCATGTTCCCCCCACACACCTCAGATGTCTTCATGTTCCAACAAGAAAAGGAGTACTTGTGGCACCTTAGAGACTAACCAATTTATTTGAGCATAAGCTTTCATGGGCTACAGCTCACTTCATCGGATGCATTCAGTGAAGTGAGCTGTAGCTCACGAAAGCTTATGCTCAAATAAATTGGTTAGTCTCTAAGGTGCCACAAGTACTCCTTTTCTTTTTGCGAATACAGACTAACACGGCTGCTACTCTGAAACTTGTTCCAACAGTTACCCTGCCAACCTGGCCTCACATTCTAGTTTCTCCACCCACCCGGCCTTCTGTTTACACAGCCCCCCAGAACATTCCTACCCTGCCCCCCACCCCGCCTCATGCTTCCACACCCCCTGCACACCCCCTACCCTCGAGAAAGTCCTCACATTCCCTCATCACAACCCACAGAATATCCTGTTGTTAGAATGCGACTTTTTAATTCAAATGGAGATGGGAGCAGCTTAACAAACAAATATGTTCTCAACCATAACAGGGCAATGACACAGGGATAAGTGACTGACGCAAGAGAGCATTTCGAGAACAAAACTGAGCCATGCTTCCCTAATTTTATCCTCTCCTTCCTCTTCCCATTAGGATCTGCCATGGCAAAGCTGTGGCAATGCCTGGAACACAGAGAGATGCTTTTCCAACTACTCCCTCAATGATACCACCAACCTGACCAGCGCTGTGACCGAGTTCTGGGAGTATGTCTCCAGCCTAAGTCAGGTTTCACCACTGCAGGGACCATCTCATCAATTCATGGGGGGTTCTTGTTCATCTATTTGAGAGTAGCTTTGAAAGTCTCTGTTGGAGACATGAAGTTGTTCATCAGACCATGCTGAATGAGTGCTCTCTGTCTCCAGAGGGGGCTAAATGTCCGGTTCATGTGCAGTTAAACATTCAGACAGGGCAAGGAGGGTCAAAACACCTCTCATCATCCATCCTTCTTCCATCAGTCCCTCACACTATATCTCATAGTCTTGCTGACCTTCTTGCCTTTTGCTCATGTTTGGGCTCACACCCACCTTTTGTGCCCTCTGCCCGCATCTGGGCTCACCCTAATCCTTCGTTCCTTCTGTCTGTGTCTGGAATCTCTCAGTCTCTGTAGATTATACTTTTTTCTAATTCCATGTCTTTTGTCTGCAGGAGGAACATGCACCAGATTTCTGGTGGCCTGGGGGAGCCAGGTAACATCCGCTGGCCCCTAGCTGGCACTCTCGCTTTAGCATGGGTTCTGGTCTATTTCTCCATCTGGAAAGGAGTAGAGTGGACTGGAAAGGTACTTTGTAATAATCAAGCAATACAGTGTTGCCTTTTATTACTGTACTCATCTCTCATGTTGAAACGTCCTCCAGATTCAATTTTGAGTGCCTGTAATTAGGGTTTACTGTGTTTCAAGGAGGAATTGGAGTGTGTGCCATTAAATTCTTTACCTTTCACAGTGGTAAAAATTGCAGGAGTTGCGGAATTCTAATCATAGAGAATACTTCTTAACCGTAGAATCTCCAGGCTGAGTACTGAACTTTCAGACTCTTGGAACAATTTAAGCCAAGCTTTGAAAAAAGGACTTTCAAAGCCCAACTTGAAACACCTAAAGGGGCCTGGGCCCCACCCTAAGCACCCGCTCTCTGAAACTCAGGTCATTTTAGGGGATTAGAAATTGAGCATCCAGAATCACTGGTCTCTTTTCACCTCATACGTTGGGTTTTAAGGATGGCCCTCGAAACAGAAACATATTGCTATTTCCTAGTGTATAACATTACAGACCAGCACCATAAAAAAGAAACATCTGAGAAATTGAATAGTTTGGTAAAATGGTGCTCCTGGGATATATTATCTAGGATGTAACTTGGAGTGATGGGATGACATTAAGAAAAGAGTAATCTAGACTGAATGTCAAAAAAAAATTCTTCACAGTAAACTTTCTTAGGTTGTGAATTAGTCTCCCAAGAAAAGTGGGGGAAGCACCTTCAGGCAAACTAGCATTACTTGAATCATTTAAATAAAACAGTTATTCACGTAGCTGGAGTTGCATCACTTAGGTCGACTTAACCCCGTAGTGTAGACCTGCCCTTAGAGCCCGGTTCACTTCTTACTTACATCAGTGAAAATCAGGAGTAAACCCACTGTAGCGAGGAGAATCAAGTCACTGTTGTAGCTCTGACTGTGAGTGCCTCACTACACAACTAATGTCTCCCTTTCTGTCTCTCTCAGGTGGTGTATTTCTCAGCCACCTACCCTTACTTCATGTTAATTATTCTTTTCTTCCGTGGAGTCACTCTACCGGGAGCCAAGGAGGGAATTCTCTTTTACATCACACCAGACTTCAGCAAACTCTCTAAGTCTGAGGTGGGTCCCGCAATGTTTAAAGCTTTTGCACTGCTGTATTCAAGTTCCTTGGCACTTTGAACATTTTAAGTTTCTCTAAAAACAAAAAAAACCCCTCCCCATCTTGGAGTCTTAGAATCCCAGTTGCCAGAGTCTTCACAGTCAGAGACAAAACTGGGCCAGATCCACAACTGGTGTAGATCAGCCGTGCTCCATTGAAATCCTGTAGTATTATCAAAGGAGCGATGCTGATTTACACCGACTGCAGACGTGACCCTCCAACATGCGGATGCTCCATTCCACTGATTATTCTAGGGGCAGCTGTTTGGGTTGGATAGTGCAGTCCCAGGTAGAGGAGGCAATGGAACCCTATATTACCCATACCTGCAATGCTAGATGTAGCTACGAGTTCAGCATCAGACATAGCTGTTATTTTAGGTGGAAGTGTTTAAATGGCAAGTGATAGCCATATACTGTTTGCCTTACTCAGTGGGAAGCCCAGTGAAGTAGAGATGCTTGAGAAGGCAAGTTTCTCTCTGTGATAGAGTAACAACTCCTTCGAGGTCTGTGAGGTCGCTGGCCATGCACAAGTGGTGACAACTGAATAGTCCTGTTTGTGTAGAGCTCCCAGTGATCCCTCTTTGTAGGAAACACTGCACTGTAACGGTATTGCCAACCCATGAGTAAGGCTCCCCTCAGAAAAATTACAAGATTGGTTTAAACATCATGCCATAAATATATAAAAAAACACCTTCTGTGTTCTTTTTATTAGCCCCCTGGGTTTGGGGCCTTTAAGTTACACAGGGGCCACATTTTCCAGCTTTTCTCTGCAACTATGCAGGCTAGAAACTACAACTTCTAAACAGTGAAAGCTGAGATTCTCATGTAATCCGCTGACTTCAGAAGCTGGGGCTTTAAGAAGACACACCAGCTATGGTGAGACTTGTGATAAAACGCAACTGTTGACACTCCTGCTCTAAGTACAGATGTTCCGGAGACCCCTTCCCTTCCCCTTGCATTGTGAGGTGGAGAAAATGATTCAGAATAATAAGACACAATCTCAGCCCCACCCCCCCAGTCTGTGCCCATTTCTGGAACCAAAACCTGAACCAAAGTATTGTAAGGATTCTGGGATGTTCATTTAGAGCCAGGTTGCAGCTGGCTCTTGATGTGTTTGCAAGTTGGGGAAGGCACAAGAAGATCTCTCTTTCTTGTGGCTGATGAAAAGTGCTATATGAGAGCTAGGTATTATTACTGTGCATCTCCCAAGCACAGAGACTGCTCTCTGCTAGAACCCTCTGGGACATTAGCAACCCCAAAAAGAGCAAGGAGAAGCAAAGGCTGTCCCCCCCACCTCCTCCCCTAACCTGTATTGCTGGCTTGCTTTGGAGGGGTGTGCTCGTTTCTTCTTCCCATATGGAGGTGCATTCCCCCAAGTACAAGAGGCATTATGCTTCTGTAACACCTACAGATCCTGGTGGGCAGGATCGAACCTGGGGCCTCTGGAGCTTAGTGCATGAGACTTTACTGCATCTGCTAAAACCTAACTGGCTCTTACCTAAGGCTGTCGAGCAAACACATTAATCTCTCTCTTTCTAAGTGGTCTCAGTGCCAGGAGGTGTGTGGGTTATACTTCCATGAGGTAACATGTCTCCCTGAGCTCCACTTGGGAATCCTACCCCCATACAACACAGGCTAGTGTCTTAAAGCACAATCTGGCCCTTAACAGTTTTCTTCCATTACTGTTCATCTCCACCTGTCTCTGTACTTCTGAGTTCAGGCTGACTCTGGAAGTGCTAAAATAGGGGGAGAAGAGCTGTTCTCCTGGCATTTCTGGGAGCGGGAAGTAGTGGAAATCAAGTGTGAAGGCCTGTTCTCGTGAGATTTCCAGTCCTGCTGTGCTGGCCCCAGAAGCTCTGGCTAGTTTGGATAAGCAGCCAACTTTGTAGGTGTTTATGTGAAAGGAACCCAAATTTAAAATCATTTGAGGTTCTCTCCTCAGTAGTGACAGACAAGAGCAGAGCCTGCGTTGCAGAGATAAGATTGGGATTTAGTTGCAGAGTTTAGATCAGAGTTTAGTGCTAAGAGCGAGATGGGGCGGGAACATGCTAATTAGGGCCCATCTCCAGCACTGATTTTTATTCCTGCTAGCTGCTGCAGGAGCTGTGCAAGCAACCTGGGAGTCTCACTCTTCTGTCCTAGCTAAACAGCATAGGAGTCAATACTGCACCTCCCGAAGGGAATCGTAGGCCTGTTGATAGGGACATTGACGTTCATCTCTGGAGTATGTCAGTGTAGTCTCTTACCTAAAGCTTCATCAAAATCAATATTTCGACTGTTCTACCTGCCACACTTCCCCTGCTACATGCTTTAAACACGATAAAATATTGTTCAAAGAAGATCTAGAGAGCTAGGTGGACAGACTGGATTATGCAGAATGTGCCTGACAGTGCTATGGAATACTGAGTCCCAGCCTGTTTTTCCTTCGCAGGTCTGGATGGATGCAGCCACACAGATCTTTTTCTCCTATGGACTGGGGTTGGGATCTCTGATTGCCCTGGGAAGCTATAACTCCTTCCATAACAATGTATACAAGTCAGTATTCTTCAAATACCTCTACAAGCAGAAAGACACACAGAGGCAAACTGTGAACCCCTGTGTGACATTGGTAAGCGTTTAGTCACAGGGGTATTCCCATTGCAGTCACCGAGACTACTCCTGTGAGTAACTACTCACCAGTGTAAGGGGTTCACAATCTGGGCCATAGTACCTGATGTTGTACGGTCTGTAATTCACCAGCATGCAACCCAGGCCTCACCACCGGTCTTCATATCTGAATGTCTTCTGGCCACATCACCAAGGACATCACCAAGTTACCCACCCCACTTCTGACCTTCACCTCTCACTGTCATCTGTCCACAGCATGGTAACTTGCCTCCTCAGGCCTCATTTTCACCCTCACCTCATCCCCTAACTCTAATCCTGTTCTGATTAGCTGACTTGACCAGAAATGCAGAAGGTTTTCTCCCATCTGTGTTTGCTTTTCCAGAGACTCAATCATTGTCTGCTGTATAAATTCCACCACCAGCATATTTGCAGGATTTGTCATTTTCTCCATTGTTGGCTTCATGGGTCACATTACCAAGAAGTCAATCGCTGAACTTGCATCGTCAGGTAAGCAGACATTGCATGTGTAGTGTTCAGACTAGAAATGTGATCCAGTGGGTGGGCCACTGGCATGGGGGTCAGGAAAGATGTGTTTTATTTCCAACTCTGTTACTGATCTATTATGTCACTTTGGACAAGTCACTTCACCTCTCTAGCCTCTGTTTCTCCCCCTACCCTAACAACACTGCAAACTCGTACCCTTTGTAATTCCATTGAAGCTCAATGGAGTTACAGTGGTGTAAATGAGAGGAGAATAAGGCCAGTTTTGGAGGAGAATTTTTATATATCGTGCACAACTAATTTTATTAAACTTACAAGACCAGAGCCCCACTGCCCTCAATGCAGCAATGCCAGTTTTCACGACAGACGATCTGGCCCATGAAGTGAGTGAAAATGACCTCCAAAAAGAAAACAGGTTCCAAATTTTCAGAATGTAATAATAGTGAATAGCATTTTGTCAATCAGCATGGTTCTCACTGAGCTTTCCTGACTGGGGCGCAAGTGTGTAATTCAATTTCCTGAGATGGTACAGAGTTGTAGAACTGGATGGCTCAGGAGACTGGGAACGAGCCATTTGGCAAATTCTTTGCCAAGCTGAACAGATGTGAGGAATGGCCTGGGTCCCAGAGGAATTTGGGAAGCTTATTCCTGATAGACTCAGGTGCTCTTTCCACTCAGGTTCCCAACACAGGAAATTCTGAGGTTTGTTGTTGTTCTACACCTAGATTGTCTATTGTTCAGGACTGGTGCACTTAAGGATGCTCTTTACGGGCATAGCCCTTTGTTAGAGCTTTCCCACGGAGTAGCTAAGCTCTGATACGATCAGTATTCTTACAAGAGCTGGCTGAAGCTCAACGTTTCCTTTTTGTGGGAAATTCTGACATTTTTGTTCTGAATTCCATTTTCAACCTTATCAAAGAGGTGAGTTTTTTTCAATTTTTTCCCCCAGACTAAATTTCTTTGCAATTGACATGTTCCCCCAGAAAGTTTCAATTTTGACGAAATGGCATTTTGGGACCGAAAAAAATCCTGTTGGAAAATGTTTGATCAACTCTCATTCTCAGTGTATATGTCAGTAACAAAGTATACGCATTTCCAGGAAAACGTTTGATCCCCCAGTCTGTTCCTGCATCATTGATGATGGTAACAAAATGGCATTGTTGTTTAAATGGGGGAAAAGATGAATGGATTGTCAAGTCCCTCACCCCTCCTTTGTGCAGCACAGACCAAGGGGGCAGATTTTCATGGAGCCCATATTAAAATATTGGCAAGTTTTTGCTGTTGCCATCGCTCGGTTTAATAGTCATACTGAGCTCTGACATGCCTCATTGTTAAAGCTCTTTAGAAACGTAAATTATTCAATATGTTTTCATTCTGGTAGGTCCAGGACTGGCTTTCCTTGCCTACCCACAGGTTGTCACGCAGCTGCCCATGTCCCCTCTCTGGTCGATTCTCTTCTTCTCCATGTTAATGATGTTAGGCCTCGACAGCCAGGTGAGACAACACACCGGGGAAAGTGGGTGAGAAGCAAAGCTGTGGTTAGATAAGAACCACCCCAGATGATAGTTGTCTGTCCTCTTCTGTCAGTCCTGTACAGTATTCCCTCTAATTTTTTCTATCCATGTGCAGAATGAATTTTGTTATGTGCACCATATCGAGGTAATATGCAGATGTGCGCCACCAGAAGAAACCAAAAATCTAGATATAATATATATTTTTAAAAAGTTACCACAGGGATAATTACTCCAGCCAGGACAGGTTAAGCATTTTAGAACTCACTACTCAAAGAATTAAATTTAAGCGTAAGAGAGAAATAAAAATTGTGAAATTTTTTAGTCAAAACACTAAAATAACACACTTTGAAAGAAGTATCAAGAAGTAACAACAACAACAACAACAAGTATGTGTTGGGAGGTGAGTGTGAAAGACAGAGTGTATGTGTGTGACACAACAATGTAATTTTGTGTGTATATGTGTGTGTGTGTGAGAGAGAGAGAGAGACAGAGGAGCACATTGCCCCTTTAAGTATGCCACCCTTTTAAGTAGATCAACAAGTTCAGACACAGCAGCAGCTGCCAGCAAGCCCTCTCCATCCTGAGCCTTGTTGTGTGTCCCCCCCGGCTCTGTGGAGATGGTGTACAGGGGCAGGGGGACACCCTGACATCAGCACGCTGCCCTGCCTTTTTTCCCTTCCCCTCCCCACTCTGCACAGCAAGCGGAAGGCTCCTGGGAGCGGCTCCAGGGCAGGGGGAGCGACAGTTGTGGGAGAGATACCTGAACTGCGTGGTACTTAATAGCCTGCTGGGTGGCTGCTTCCAGGGAACGTATGTCCTGTATAGGGTGATTTCTCACACTCAAAAATGAGATCCTCCATTTTGGGCAGATCTTCACGTACAAGGGAAATTTTAGGCAAATACTAGAGAATATTTATAGAAGGCAATAGTAATTTTGAGTATTCACCTGGGACACCTGATTCCAAGAGATACCACTCAGAGTCAGAGAACACAGGCACCAGGATGTCTTTGTACTACAGTAGCTCCTGGCCCTATTGTACCGGGTATAGTAAAGACACAGGCAAGTCGGCTTACTTTATCAAAGGAAATACCAGCTATTCCTGAGTGACACAGCCAACCCACCAGACACTGGTTGATTCCTTGAAAGGCTTACAGAAGCAGTAGGTTTGGAAGGGGAAGATGGTAGTGCCCTTCCCAGTTAATTCTAGGAGGGCATTCTGTGCATATGGGGCAGTGCAGGAGAAAGCCCACAAGTTATAGGAAACCTTGTGCCATGGCCTGATCTAGTCCCACTCCCTGGAGGGACACCAGCCTGTTGTGATGGGATCGGATTGCTGAATCCTACATGCTTCCTAGCCCCTGGGTCCAGTTAGTGACATAATAGCCATAGAGCAGATGCTTCCTACAGCGATGGAACAGGTTTTTCTGTTGCTGTAGGTAATCCACCTCTCTGAGCAGCAGTAGTTAGGTTGATGAAAGAATTCTTCCTTCAACCTTGTAGTGTCTACATTTGGGGTTCGGTTGGCTTAGCTATGGTGCTCAGAGGTGTGGATTTTTCACACCCCTGAGCGCTGTATCTATGTTGATTGAAATTTTAAGTGTAGACCAAGACTTAGACAAGTTCCCTGAAGAGCCCACCTGGTGGTGGGAGCTCTGGTTTCTAGTTAACCCCTTTAAGGGCAATGTGTCAGTAAAACAAGGAAACACAGGCTTAGCAAAGGGATTTCTTAAACATAAACACACACACCTTACTCTTAAAAAGCACAATAGAGTTTTGTTTGTGAGTTCTGGGTTTGGTTCAAGGCCTTAGGGGAGGTAAAATCCTTCCTTCCTCCACTCACTGTAGCTTGCCTTCTGTTCCTGGCGATGAAATGGCTTCCTTGGCTTAGAAAGCAGCTACCTTGTCAAAAAGACTAGATTAGATGGGGGGAGTGGTGGGATTCCAGCTCCCCCTCTCCCCAGACAGATTTCTGTGAAGAGAGTCCATTCAAAGCCAAAGGCCCTGCTGGCAGAAACCGTATTGTTTGAGCAAGGGAAACTTGCTCAGTGTTGATGGCCCTTGATTGCTCCATCACATCTTCCTTCCTCCCTCCCCTCACCCCTACATAGCCTCTCTGCTACAAAATGCTGAAAAATGGATGATCTGATCTACAATTACTGATCTGATCTACAAAAACTGGTTGCAATTACAGATAACATTCATAAAACGACATGAAATTCATAAATGGACATGGACATATTCCCCAAACTGTCACACCTTGTGTCCAATCAAATCTAATCAACCCTGCTGGAGTTTCACATGTTGAACAGCTCAGACCAGGACTTATTGCTGATATTATTTGGCAAACAATCTCAAATAATGAGTAAATGTTCCCAAAGTAGCTAAGTTCACTGAAAGAACTATTCTCTATGGATCATTCACTCGGCTCTCGTAAATAGTTCAATACATGACAATAAGGCTCCTAAGCACTGTGTGGAATTATTGATGCCTTTGCATCTCAAATATCACATGAAAGTCTTAGAGTCCCATATGACTGTCAGTCTCACAGGGCACGGAGCTCTTTGGGGGCTGTCAGTGCCTGGGGAAGGGGTGTGTAAGGCATCAAAAGCAAAACAAGCATTTAGAAAAACAGATAAATAGATGTTGAGGGTTTCTGTCTGCATACTGGAGATTTACTCATTCAGGATATGATTTACACGCATAGCGTGGAACCCACAATGCCTACTTTTGCATGTGCAGTAACAACTGTGCATGCAAGTAGGTAGGTAGGTAGGTGCCTGGCTAGTTATTAGTACACACAGGCTCCTGATTTGCATGTGTTGCTATAACTGAGCACACAAATGCAAGTGTGCAATTGCACAAATACTTCAGGTTGCCTTTTTTGAAAATTAGGCCCCACATGTTCTCAGAAAGCATTGGTTGTGCACAGGAACATCTTCTGCAGGACGGTCAGCAGCCCAGTCCATGACTGCTTAGTCCAGGCCAGGTGTAGCAAGGTGGGAAGGCTCTTGCGTCAAACCCCACCCTTAACAGGTGCTAGACCCCTTCAGAGGGCTGCTGAAGTCATTGTCGCAGGTGCAGCTCGTTATTGCAGCTGGGCTAGAAGGGAGGTGGGAGTGGTTCCCTGGAGAGAGGCCAGAGTTGGGCCTGGAGGGACACCCAAGCTGGGAAGCTAAGATTGAGGTTTATGTTCTGGTCATGTTTGAGCTGCCAAGAAAACCAAAGCCCATGAAAGTGGGGGGTGTTTGGCCAGTAAGGTGTTGCTGCCCTCAGTGTCGAAACACCTAACTGATTTAAGAGCCTAAATCTCATTTTCCAAAGGGGTTTAGGCACTTAGAACCCTAAATCCTATCGGCTCTCAAGGGGATTTAGACTCCTCAATCAGCCAGGCATTGCAGTGCTAAGCGGCACAACACCTAAATACCTTTACAAAATTGAGCCTCCAGGGCCATTTCAGTGAAGCACTTAGGCACATCTTTAACTTTCAACATGTGCTTAAGTCCATCCCGGCTCAACAAAGCCCTTGAGCATGTGCTTAAAGCGAAGAATGTGTTTAAGTACTTGGCTGAATCGGGGCCTAACTCCGGGTCTGTGTGCTCTGGGGAGGACAGAGTTGGGACTCAGCCTGCTCACACCTGGGCTTAAGGAGAACCGCTTTTGGTGACGGTAGGCAGCACAGGGCGCTGGAGAATCAAGGGGAATAACAGGGTCTGTCTGTGCCCAGTAGCCTCAATAAATAATCCTTTGTGTATTTACTACCGCTACGTCCTGTCTCTTTGCATCATGAGGGACATCGCAAATTCTTATTCACAGCTGCAGTGGCATACGCTGATACGCACAGACACACACACACGTTTTCACTCGTGGGTTCAGTCCTCTTGCATCTAGATCTAGGTTTAGTTCTCTTGCATCTCTTGCATAATGTGCTAATGATTCCTTTTAACTGCCAGTTTCCAGGTCAGGCGTTTGCTCCACCAGGGGAGTGAGTGGAGCCTTGTGATTCCAAGCCCGCGTGTGTCCCATGTGATGCCATCTTTTACAGGTTATTCATGAGCATTTCTTGCTGATGGAATCAGAGTCCTGCACAGCAGAAACACCCACTCACAAGCCTATCTGCTGAACAGCTGTTTTTCTGCAGTTAAACTCCCTTTGGGCCGTCTTCTTCTCCTGCATGATACAAGGAGCTCTCCCTGAAGCCAGTGGGAGTTCTTTGTATCCTGTGGTGGGGATCGCAAGCCCCTTGAACTGTGGGAAAATTCTCTTGTCTGCTAATTGTTGTGAGGTGCCAGCCTGTCAGTGACTCACTATTCTACTGCCCCACAATTGATGGAGTGACCAGACCCCGGCAAGGGCGGAAAAAAGAGTGGGGGAGAATCAGGAATGGAAATAAGAAACAGGAAATAACAGGATCACCAACTCAGGTTTGGGGTGCGGGACAGACGCCTATTATAGAAAAGTGACAGGAATAATGAAGAGACACAACAATATACTGAGGAAAGTGAAACATTTCAGAAAACGCACAAAAGCCACTGTAAAGAGAAAAAAGGAAGAAGGAAGGAAGGAAGCGAGTACACAGAGTGATAACAATTATTATTTATTATTTGTATTATGCTAGTGCCTGGGAGCCCCAGTCATGGACCTCAGAATCCCATTGTGCTAGGTGCTGCACAAACACAAAACAAAAGACTGTCACTGCCCCCAAAATCTTATACTCTGAACATACAGCAAGAGAGAACAGATGGAGTCAGACAGATAGATGGGCAGGGACGGGTGAGTAAAAGGAACCAATGAGACACTATTGGTCAGCACGATAGGCCGTGGACTCTGCACACCAGCAGCCCAAGCAATGTCAAATAGGAAACACCGCAATGGCCTGCTCTTCAGAGGTATGGAGCACTCGCAACTCCAGCAGACGTCAGTGGGAGCCGCGGGAGCTCAGCACGGCTATAAATCAGGCCATTTTTGTTTAGGTGCCTAAATGTTCTATTTGGGTGTCTAACTTTAGGCACCCAGGTTTGAAACGTTTAGCCTTAATGACTTGTTCAAGGTCACATAGCAGGTCCGTGTCAGGATTAGACCTGGGGGCTTCCTAGCCCCCAGCCAGGTGCAGATTGCACTAGCAGCATTGCACAATTTGGCCATCTCTTCCTGTGTGTTCCATGTGGTCTGGTTAGGATGTGGAGAGATGTGTATCCCATCGGTATTTACTGCTTCAGCCTTCCTCTCCCCCCCCACTACTCCTCACACAACTCCCCTAGGACTTCCCCCATGCATATCTGCTCCAGTAACTCCCTGTGCCCACTTCTCTCTCCTCCCGTACACCACTCTTAATCTGAAGTGACTTCCAGTTCCCTTGCCATTTACCCTCTTGCTCATAGCTTTCCACACCCATATCTTCCCCCACTTGATGGTCTCCCATACCCCACTTGATGGTCTCTTTTCCCCTCTACTTTCCCCCTGTTACTTTGCATATCCAGTCCTCCCTGTCAGCCACCCTCCCCTTCACTTCCACACCAGCCCCTTTCCTTCTCCACAACACCAATCATTATCCAGCTACCTGTGGTAACTCATGCAGTCAAGTGAAAGGAACAGATTTTGACACCCACACCAGGCTTCAGCATGATGGTCCTTCAGCACCGTCACTACATGCTGGAAATGAGGTGAAGGCAGCAGGGAAGCAGTGGTCAGTCAAACACAGAGATAGAAGAAGTAACACAAATCCAGGCTGAGAGGTGGTGCATTTTCCAGAGGGGAGGGAGGTGGCCCCACACCGGGAGAGTCGGGGGGAGGAGGAGGAGTGTTTCAAGGGAATGCAGAGGGTGGTGATATGTTTGTGTGTGTCTTTCCTCCTGCAGTTCTGCACTGTGGAGGGATTTGTCACAGCCCTGTTAGATGAGTATCCCTATCTCCTGAGGGCCAGGAAGAAGCTCTTCATTGCTGTGGTCTGTCTTATCTCCTACATTGTTGGATTCTCCAACATCACCCAGGTACCTCTCCCTGTGCTCACTCCCGCTCCTGTTCCTGGTGCTCTTCCATCCACCTTTTTGTATAACAGCAGCAGAGGAAGCCTGGGGGAAGGGCCATTGTCTGTGAAAGACACTAGGGCCACTGTTGGTCTGGGCTTTGCCCAGCACTGTCATCTATCCAGCAAGCTGCAGTCTACACATTAAATCTCAGTAAGTTATCATTATCCTTGTGGTCAGTCTAGCTGGGACTCCTGTTGCTTCGAGGATGGGCCTATGCCCTGGAGGGTGACACATTCTCTAAGCAGAAGATTGAGATAAACCAAAAGAGAGCAGGTCTGGTGGGGCTCTGGGGCAGTGACACTAAGGCCCAGGCTCCATGTTTACATGCCCTAGTGAGTGACCTAATGCAGAGATCTGTATACTGGGTGTATGGCAGTGAGGCTCAGGCTTTTTGTGCAGACTTCAGGGCCAGGCTCGGTGACATGGAGGCCAGGGTGTGGATTTCCCACTTTGTGACTTCGTGCTGGATGAGTCACAGAACATGGAACATCTGCAGAGGCATCTGAAGTGCAGCAGGAGGGACAGAATGGATTCATTTTACAAAGTGGCTTCACCTCACACTAGAGGAGGAAGGCAGCCACACGAGAGTCCTGCTTGTCTCCCTGCCTTCAGCCAGGCTTGAACACTCACTCCTTGACCACATTCCAGAGTACGTCTGTTAAAATGGCAGGAATTTGATTATAACAAAATGATGCATCTTTGTTGGCTTCCATAGGCCAAGGAAATTAACACACACAGGCAGAATGATTAGATAAAAGTATTGATCGTATTAATCCTCAGCTCCCCACCCAGGCTGTACTCTATAACCAGGCCCCCTCCCTTTGGCTTTGTCTCCTCAGGGTGGCATTTATGTCTTCAAGCTGTTTGATTATTATTCAGCCAGTGGCATGTGTCTTCTCTTCCTCGTCTTCTTTGAGACCATCTCAATTTCCTGGTGTTACGGTAAGTGCAACTCACCTTGTTCCTTTGCTTCTTATCTACAGGCACAGAAGGTGCTATTTGCAAAAGCCCTCAACACTAGCATTGAAGTCAGTGGGAGATGGACAACTGACTATAGTGTTGGGCCAAAGCTGAAAGCTTTTGAAAACCCCCGGGATTTTTCATCTTGCTTCCTCAGACAGCCACTCAGCTGAGCACATGTTCACAGAGATTCCTATACAAATGGAAATACGCACAGGCCTCTAGAATTGGATTTTTGAGGGCATGATACGAATATAGAATTTGTTAGGCCAAATCTGACTGCTGAGCCATCTGCCCTGGTATCCTGGCAGTGTCCAATGTCTGATGCTTAGGAGTCCCCCCTCTTCAGTAACTTGCCCATCCAATTGTGCAGTGCTGGGGTGTCAGGAAATTCCTTCTTGACCCCTCCAAGGTCAATCTATGACCTAGTCTATCTTATGATCTAGACCTTTGCTAGTTGATTATTATCACTGTCTTAGCTTGGGAAGCTGTAGATGTTTTTAGTGGTCATAAAATTATCCAGGTTCCCATTAAGATAGAGTCCAGTGTTTGTGTCTATGGCCTCTACTTTTTATCTGGGGAGTCAGCGTTACACTTCTCCATGCTCACCTTAAATGCCTGCTCTCCTCTCTGATCTCACATGTCCTCCTTCTCCTGTTCTGTGTTGGGTCACTGGATAGAGGTGATGAGAATGGTGCTGAGATATCATTGCTGCTGTTAATAAACATTTCTCACTGTAGGTGTGAACAGATTTTACATGAACATTGAAGAGATGATTGGCTACCAACCTTGCAGCTGGTGGAAGCTCTGCTGGGCCTTCTTCACTCCCCTTGTTTGCGTGGTGAGAACAAAGCAACTCTCTTTGGGGAGGTTGATCTAGAAGGGCCACCTCACTGGGATCATTCTGTGGGTGGGGGAAGCACTAAATTTTTATTCAAGGTAACTCCAATCCAAATCCAGATCTGGCATTAAATGCAAGTTGGTCCTGAGAAGAATCAAAGTGACTGGCAGGAAAAGAAATATGTAGAGCCTCTTTTATTCTCCCACCTGAATCCCTGCAACTGACTCTCAGAAGAGAGCGGGGAGTTTGGCCTAGAATCATAGAATATAGAATCTCAGGGTTGGAAGGGACCTCAGGAGGTCATCTAGTCCAACCCCCTGCTCAAAGCAGGACCAATCCCCAATTTTTGCCCCAGATCCTTAAATGGCCCCCTCAAGGATTGAACTCTCAACCCTGGGTTTAGTAGGCCAATGCTCAAACCACTCATGCATTACTCCTGTGTTTGATATTTCAGAAACTGAACTGGTGATTTATGACTTTAAAAATCATTGTTGGCTGTGGGGAAAACTTTCAGCCACTCCAGCTCCAGCCTCAGCCCCTCCCAAGCCTCTCTCAGCAGGAGGCACTCTCAGAAATAATAGAATTGGCACTGATGAGCTCTCAGTTCCTCCGCCCCCCTCCAACCCTTCCTCTCCCAGCAGGAGGTGCTATTGGCATTGCTGCAGGAATACTGGCTGTGGGAAGTTCCTAGCTCCTGAGAGTCAGCTAAGAGGAAGCTATTTAGGAAATGGTTTGGGAGTGCAGTGTGCAGCAGAAGCCTAAGTAGGGAGGGGTGTAAGTGCCCTGGCTGGGGCAGGGAAGTTTAGGGGCACTGACCATGGGGAAAACATTACCAGGCATTCTCAGTCTCTCTCAGCCAGAATTGCTGTAGGAAATGGGGTAGAAACAATCTCTGGTGGAATGAGAAGATTAGAGAGAAAGGTGCAGTTGGTGCAGGAGCCCTGGCTGTGGGAGGAGCTGTTGGGACTGATCTGGGAGCCCTGGCTTTTGGGGCAGCTCTTGGGCCATGGCTGGGGAGCGGGGGCAGTTGGGAATGGTGTGGGAGCCCTGGCTGGGTGGGAAGGGGGCTGTTGGGAACGGTGCGGGAGCCCTGGCTGGCGGCCAGGAGCAGTTGGGAATGGTGGAGGAGCCCTGGCTGGGAGGAGGGGGGCTGTTGGGAACGGTGTGGGAGCCCTGGCCGTGGGGCGGGCGGCTGATGGGAATGGTGTGGAAACCCTGGCTGTGTGGGGGAGAGCTGTTGGGAATGGTGCGGGAGCCCTGGCTGGGGGTCAGAGAGGGCTGTTGGGAATGGTGTGTGATTATTCACTAGAACTCATAGTGAGAATTTAGGGAACTCTCAAAAGGACAGTCAGTGAATATTTCTGCTTGTGCCATACGATGCTGTGACTGCTGATCCTGTTTCTTCAGGGTGTTTTCTTCTTCAGCGTGGTTGAAATGACCCCTCTGACTCTGGGGAAATATGTCTATCCCACATGGGGACAGGGCATCGGCTGGCTCATGGCTCTGTCTTCCATGGTGCTGATTCCGGGCTATATGCTGTACTACTTCTTCATCTCCGAGGGGACCATCAGGCAGGTAAAAGCAACTTTCCAACTTCTGCCTCTGCTCAATTATCTGTCCAGAGTGAATTTCCCACCAGCAACCCACTATAAACTTCACTCAGCCCCTGTGTCATGGCATTGACTCCTGTAGTCTTTGTAAACCAAGGCTTCCAGAGACTCCCACCTCTTCCCCCAACACCCTCTGCGCTCTTCTGATCTGCTCCTTATGCTTTCTACTACCTCCTGCACAACACATTCCATGTAAGCCAATAGAAAGCCCTTTCTCACTGAGGCAAATGAATGACTTAGGGGATTGGGGTAAGGAGATATGTGCCTTTACCTGTTGGTTACAATTCCTCACAGGTCAGTAGTGACCAAAAATTGTTACCTTCTCATTCCTGTTTGGTGTCTTATGTGAAATAAGTCGAGGGAATCTTGGTCCCATTCCTAGCAGATTACTGTTCACATCAGCCTATCACTGTTACATAGAGAGATGTTTGAAAATCTTCCAACAGAATGTTTTCCCATTGGAAAATGCTGTTTTGTCAGAAACACAACTTTCCAAGGGGACATGTTGATTCTGACAAATTTTGTTTTGAAAAAAGAAATTGAAATGATGTGTTTTGCGAAGGTCAGAACATTCTGTCTGGACCATTTCGGAAATGGAACTTTTTGATTTTTTCATTTCAAAATGACTTTTCATTTTGAAATGTATTTAATATTATCAACATTTTGTTTTTCAAAAAAAGTCAAAATCAAAAGGAAATGTTTTTGAATGTCTTGAAACAAAATCTTTTCATACATCTCGTTTCATGGGAAAGTTCTAAATTCTTTTTTGTTCCGATTTGGAATAAAAGCAAATGTTTGAAACTGTGGATATTCCAGTTCCTGTATAGTTCTAGTTATGAAAGTCACTAACAGGCAATCTCAGCAAAGATGCCATGTTCTAACTGAGCGAGAAGCCTGAACTAGCTCAGAGCCAAGGTCTATTGGTGAGGGAGGTTTGCACTGGGGCTGGCTGTCTCATGGATAAAAAGGGCTGTCAGTCTCCTATCTTTCGCCAGCATTCAATTCACTTTAAAAATGAAAGAAAGACAGAGAGAGGCCCCAGTGCTGCACCAATATAGACCCCACCACAATGTCATTTCCTTTAGGGTCAGAAGAAGAGACTGTCAAAGGCAGTCACAGGGCATTACCCTTCTCTCTGTTGATAGCAATAGGCTGCGCATTGTGTTGAGAATTAAAGCGAACAATCCCTACTCACATCCATCTCTGATCCTTACAGATGATCCTTGCTCAGAGCTCCATAGGATGGTATGAACACTCACCACCCCTCCCCGCCACTCACTGGTAATATGCCACCGGGGGAAATCCCTTCTTGTCTCCTAACGCGGGCATCAGTTCCTCCCTGTGTTTGGTTCCAATTCTATTCTCATTGAAGCTGAGGACAGTATTCTCTTGACTTCACTGGGAGCAGGAGCAGGCTGGGAAGGCCAGATTATAATGTCCTGACTCTCACTGAGTAGCATCTAAATCCTCAAGTAGTTCCGCTGACTTCAGCGGGCGACTTGTACCATACCAAGTGATTAGGGATATCGCAATCTGCCCCTAAGTGAGCTGAATCCCTGTAGTTGTGCCTCTGAATCCATCTGTAACCTGAGATCCCACCTGTTGTCCACATTTCCACTGAGTCCCCGTCTTGCAGGCCCATGGAACGAGGTTATATTCTGTTGCTCCAGGAGCAACCTTAGCATCTGGTGCGCACTGACAATGTCAGTCAATGGGAATTAGAAATAATAACAGTGTGATTGGCTTCTATTTACCTTCCCCTCCCTTTGCTCACTCGATCAGACTCGATATCCCCATGTGCACTGACCGTTCTGCCAGTTCAGTGGAATGTCACTCTTTTCGGAGGCAGGCAACACACGCACCCAGGCCCCCAGCCTCCATAATCCATTGCACTAGCATTAAACAGCTGGTGGCAGTAGGGAGTTAGACAGTGTGTGTGTATGTGTGTGCATGTGAGAGAGAGAGGATTAGCTTGTAACAGAGCTGAGGCTGGAGGGAAATTAGATGTCAATGCAGAATAAAAGGGTTTTGACAGACAGGAAAGATTATAAGATATTTTAATCCTACTGAGCATGAATGGCAGGAGAGCCTCCCTAAACATTTCAGGGGCTTCACCCGGCAAGAAACACTTCAGATATGTCTGAGTACGGGGGCTCTTCCCTCTCCTGGAGGGGCTCTTCTCCAGCTCAGTGATGTCCATTCACTTCAGGCCCCCTTCCTCTCTGCCTCATGTTCCATAATTTAAAGCACCACTTCCCCTCCTGGAATTCAGCCTCCATGTCCATTCAACCCTAGGCTTCAACCCATATTGCTCAGACAACCAGTGCCCCTCTGCCTGAGGGACTGCTCTCTCCCACATTCCATCTCCCGGGGTGTCTTCCGGACACAGCTCTACCAATGGACCTCAGTTTTATTTAGACTTTGATCCTGTCAGGTTGATATAAATGGGAATCCATGCTGGCATAAAGGGCCATGCAGGATCAGAGCCATAAACTGTAAATTCCTTGGCATTCTGTAACCATTGGATAACATTTTTAATGAGAATTTCATGGAAAATGGAATAGAGAAGGAAAAGTGGATCCATTTTGAATCCTGTGAAATGGGAAGAACCTTGACGTTTTTGGTAACAAATTTTAAAATTTTGACTAGCTTTAGCGTCTAGGTGCTGCTACAACTGTGCGGTAACTACTGGTTTACTTTGTAATGGTGGGTTTCAGAGTAACAGCCGTGTTAGTCTGTATTCGCAAAAAGAAAAGGAGTACTAGTGGCACCTTAGAGACTAACCAATTTATTTGCGCATTAGCTTTCGTGAGCTACAGCTCACTTCATCGGATGCAACTGATGAAGTGAGCTGTAGCTCACGAAAGCTTATGCTCAAATAAATTGGTTAGTCTCTAAGGTGCCACAAGTCCTCCTTTTCATTTTGTAATGGTGCTCTCTGTTATTCATAAGAGAGAACTGTGTGTAATAGAAGAGCAAAGGGGAAGTGATTACATTGCCAAATAAAGGTGTCTGGTATCTGGAGCAATTGTCCTAATCACCTTCAGTGTTCACTATCCCCTTGGTAGCCCTCTTTCTGTAACTAGGGACCTCTCTTCAATTTAGAAAGAAGGGTTGTGACCGTCAGCTTCAGCCACATGCCATGTGTGGAGGTGGTGGTGGTGGTGAAAGGGTCTCCTCATTTTCTCCTGGGTACTTGTGTCCTTCCTGTAATCTTTGTTTGTTTGTTTCTGGACAGCGTTTTCAGCAGATGACTCAGCCCACGCAAGAGGTGGATGTTCAGAACAATGGACTAAAACCGAAGACCTCACTGAATGGGAGAGTCTCAGATGCTGCTGTCTAGGCAGAGGGCAGAACCTATTCATCCTGCTCTGTAGCTGCTCCCGCCCCTGCGCTTTGACCTCCCCTGGCACTGCTTGTGTGTCCCCAACTCCACGGTTGGTTTCAGTCAGCATGGGAAGGATCTAACAGGGGAGCCCTTTCATGGCACTGCCCCCTAGCCCGGCTGATCAAGACTCTATTTTAAACTCCATAAGGACAATGTCCAGTGACTGTCTTCATAATTTATGATCCCAGTCTATACGGCCAGAAAGGAATGTCCCAGGCCCTAGTTTCCTGCTGACCACAGATGGTATTTTCTATAGTACAATAACGTCTCCTTTTTCGTTGTGTTCTTCAGCCCCTCTTCTGTACTAAAGTCCACCACGCACCCCCTAATGAACAGCAAGGCTGTCACAGCATGAAACCAGCTGTATTTTGGCTATGGATTCAAATTCCAGATGATTATCAATTAATATAGCATAAAGTACCTTTAAGGAATAATTAGTCCTAAGTGCTGTACAATGGATGCAGCAACCAGGAATACAGAATATTGGTGGCTACTGGATACCCCTCAGCAATCTGGACAGGCATAAGGGGTGCTGTGCTCCTGGAGCTGCTGTCCTTTAGCCATGAACACCCATTGTTGTTATTATTATTAGCAGTCATTTATACAGAGCCATAGATCTAAGATTCCCTTGTACTGGTGGAGGAGACATCCTTTATAATGTGAGCATGCTCCATCCTGACACACCCTGGTATGATGTTACGTCAGGGGTGGGCAAACTTTTTGGCCCGAGGGCCACATCGGGGTGCGAAACTGTATGGAGGGTGGGGAAGGGATGGCTGTGCCCCTCAAACAGCCTGGTCCCCGCCCTGCCCCCTATTCGCCCCCTCCCACTTCCCGCCCCCTGACTGTCCCCCTCAGAACTCCCGACCCATCCAACCCCCCCAGCTCCTCGTCCCTTGACTGCCCCCTCCTGGGACCCCCTGCCCCAAACCGCCCCCCCGGGATCCCACCCCCTTACCAATCCCTCTGCTCCCTGTCCCCTGACTGTCCTGACATATCCACACCCCTGCCCCCTGAAAGGCCCTCCCCGGAACTCCCACACCCTATCCAAACCCCCGTTCCCTGACCTCTGACTACCCCAGAATTTCTGCCCCATCCAATTGCCCCCTGCTCCCTGTCCCCTGACTGCCCTCTGGGACCTCCTACCCAACTCCCGCACCGCTGTGGGCCGCCGCTGTCCCCTTACCATGCCACTTGGAGCAGCAGGAGCTCGCAACCCTGCTGCCCATGTGGTGGTGTGGCTGCGGGGGAGGTGGAACAGCGGGGGAGGGGCAAGCCTCCTGGGCCAGGAGCTCAGGGGCTGGGCAGGCTGGTCCTGTGGACTGGATGTGGCCCACGGGCCGTAGTTTGCACACCTCTGTGTTACGTGGTGTCCTAAGATGCTGTATGTGCCATATCCCCTATCTACTCCCTAAAACGCCATCATGGTATCAAGGGGGGTGCTTGTTGCTGGAGGTACAATCCTTCATCCTCACCTAGGCATATTCGACCAGCATCCCAGCATTGACCCTGACATGTCTTAGCCTTTCGCACCCCAGCATGGCACTGAGGGCAGTGTGGTTGCAGATGATGTTGGAGGAGAGATGAGAGCTCCAGAGGAAAGTGAGAACTGGCACTGAAGTGACATTTCCAGGTTACAAAGTCATTTCAGAGCAGGTGGCTTGTAACAGCAGCCATATACATCCTGGAATCTGTTGTTTTCACTTGCCCTAGTTCTCTCATGCACCTAGGACCCCAATATTTTCTGACCAGCAGATAGGACCTCAGTCAGGTGTAAGAGCAGTGTTCCACACAGGACAGCCCCAAAATGGCCCTCTTGTGGGGCCACCTATGGGATAGGTGCGTCTGAAAAGTAACTTCTGTATAGATGTGCGAATTGGAGTTGTCTATCTCTTAGCTACACACCAATGACCATGTACCAAGTTTTTCACTGGGGATGGCATCCCTGCTGACGCTCAGACCCAGTTTCAGTGCAGAATAAATCCGTTCATGGAGCCTGAGAGGGGAACAGGTATCTTGTGGGAAGTGCTCAGGTGGGATCCTGAAGCAGGCAAGGAAGGGAATAGGGTCAGAATGTCCTGATCCAGCTGGGAGTTCTGGACTTGGACTTACTCCATCCCTCTATGCCCTGGCATGGCATTGTATGGTGCCCTGTGGAGTTGGAGGGAAGGGAATGGGGTCAAAACTCCCTGACTGGGGAGTGCCCCTCCTCACACACACAATCCACAGATCCATAGCCTACAGAGTAGCCCCTGCCTTCTGCTCTACCACTGGATCTGCTCCCTCCTGCATCCAGCACTCTGCCCAGGGGTTAGCTCATACAATTCACATTCTGTGAGTGGAATGGCCCTGTATCATAGAATCATAAAATTATAGGACTGGAAGGGACCTTGAGAGGTCATCTAGTCCCTCCGCTGCACTCAAAGCAGGACTAAATATTATCTAGACCAGTGGTTCCCAAACTTGTTCCGCCGCTTGTGCAGGGAAAGCCCCTGCCGGGCCGGGCCGGTTTGTTTACCTGCCGCGTCTGCAGGTTCGGCTGATCGCAGCTCCCAGCGGCCAATGGGAGCTGCTGGAAGTGGTGGCCAGTACGTTCCTCAGCCCACGCCAGTTCCAGCAGCTCCCATTGGCCTGGAGCAGCGAACCGCGGCCACTGGGAGCCGCGATTGGCCGAACCTGCAGATGCGGCAGGTAAACAAACTGGCCCGGCCCGCCAGGGGCTTTCCCTGCACAAGTGGCAGAACAAGTTTGGGAACCACTGATCTAGACCGTCCCTGACAGGTCTTTGTTGAATCTGCTCTTAAAAATCTCCAATGACGGAGATTCCACAACCTTCCTAGGCAAGTTATTGCAGTGCTTAACTACCCTGACAGTTAGAAAGTTTTTTCTAATGTCCAACCTAAACCTTCCTTGCTAAAATTTAAGCCCATTGCTTCTTGTCCCATACCCAGAGGTTACCAAAAAAGATTTTTCTCCCTCCTCCTTGTAACACTTTATGTATTTGAAAACTGTTATCATATCCCCCTCAGTCATCTCTTTTCCAGACTAAACAAACCAAACTTTTTCAATCTTCCCTCATAGGTCATGTTTTCTAGACCTTTAATCATTTTTATTGCTCTCCTCTGGACTTTCTCCAATTTGTCCACATCTTTCCTGAAATGTGGCGCCCAGAACTGGACACAATACTCCAGTTGAGGCCGTATCAGCGCAGAGCAGAGCAGAAGAATTACTTGTGTCTTTCTTACAACACTTTAGCTTTTTTTGCAACAGTGTTATACTGTTGACTCATATTTAGCTTGCGATCCACTGTAACTCCCACATCCCTTTCCGTAGTACTCCTTCCTAGGCAGTCATTTCCCATTTTGTATGTGTGCAACTGATTGTTCCTTCCTAAGTGGAGTACTTCGCATTTGTCCTTATTAAATTTCATCCTATTTACTTCAGACCATTTCTCCAGTTTGTCCAAACGATTTTCAATTTGAATCCTATCCACCAAAGCACTTGCAACCCCTCCCAGGTTGGTATTGTCCACAAACTTTATACGTTTATACGCTCTTTGCCATTATCTAAATCATTGACGAAGATATTGAATGGAATCGGACTCCACTCTATATGCCCTTCCAGCATGACTGTGAACCACTGATAACTACTCTCTGGGAATGGTTTTCCAACCAATTATGTACCCACCTTATAGTAGCTCCATCCAGGTTGTATTTCCCTAGTTTGTTTATGCGAAGGTCACATGAGACGGTATCAAAAGCCTTACTAAAGTCAAGATATAGCACATCTGCTGTTTTCCCCCCTATCCAAAAGCTTGTTACCCTGTCAAAGAAATCTATTAGGTTGGTTTGAGATGATTTGTTCTTGACAAATCCATAGTGACTGTTACTTATCACCTTATTATCTTCTAGGTGTTTGCAAATTGATTGCTTAATTATTTGCTGCATTATCTTTCCGGGTACCGAAGTTTAGCTAACTGGTCTGTAATTGACTGGGTTGTGCTTATTCCCCTTTTTATAGACTGGTACTATATTTGCCTTTTTCCAGTCCTGTGAAATCTCTCCCATCTTCCATGACTTTTTGAAGATAATCGCTAATGGCTCAGATATCTCCTCAGTCAGCTCCTTGAGTATTCTAGGATATATTACATCAGGCCCTGGTGACTTGAAGACATCTAACTTGTTGAAGTAATTTTCAACTTGTTCTTTCCCTATTTTAGCCTCAGATTCTACCTCATTTTCACTGGCATGTTAGACGTCCAATCACTACTAAACTTTTTGGTGAAAACTGAAACAAAAATGTCATTTAATACTTCTGCCATTTCCACATTTTTGGTTATGGTTTTTTCCCCATCATTGAGTAACGGGCTTACCTTGTTCTTGGTCTTCCTCTTACTTCTAATGTACTTGTAGAATGTTTTCTTGTTACCCTTTATGTCTCTAGCTAGTTTAATCTCATTTTGTGCCTTTGCTTTTCTAATTTTATCCCTGAATGCTTGTGTTGTTTGTTTATATTCATCCTTTGTAATTTGACCTAGTTTCCACTTTTTGTAGGAACTGTTTTGTGTTTCCGATCATTGAAGATCTCCTGGTTAAACCATGGTGGTCTCTTGCCATACTTCCTATCTTTCTTGCACAATGGGATAGTTTGCTTTTGTGCCCTTAATAATGTCTCCTTGAAAAACTGCCAACTCTCTTAACTATTTTTTCCCTTAGACTTGCTTCCCATGGGATCTTACCAACTCTGTGAGTTTGCTGAAGTCTGCCTTCTTGAAATCCATTATCTTTTTTGTGCTTTTTTCCCTCCTACCGTTCCTTAGAATCATGAACTCTACCATTTCATGGTCACTTTCACCCAGGCTGCCTTCCACTTTCAAATTCTCAACTTGTTTCTCCTTATCTGTCAAAATCAAATCTAGAATAGCCTCTCCCCTAGTAACTTTCTCCACCTTCTGAAATAAAACATTGTCTCCAATACATTTCAAGAATTTGTTGGATAATCATGCCAAGGTCTGATGGAAGAGTTGCTCCTATGTCCTGCAATATTTTTAGGCAGTAACCCTAACACTTGGTCCAGGAATCACCCCACATACACTTCCTTCCTTTGTCAGGGTTTCCATCTTGTCCTGCTTTTATGACACAGTTTTCAAGGTTGTTTTTTTGAGTCCCATGAATCAAAAACTTGTTTATGTTTGTGTGAAAATGATGTCTGTGCCGAGGACCAGCACTTGGACCTGTGCATCACTGAAGACCCACTTAAGCCCTCAAAATATAGGCCAAGATTTTCAAGAGTTTCTAGTGATTTTGGGTACCTCAATTCTTGGGTGGCCAACTTAAGACCCTATTTTTCAGGAAGTGCTGAGCACCCAAGCTCTGGAAATCAGGCTACTTTAAGGTGTGTCAAGTCACAAATGGAAGCCCCCGATATCATTAATGATTCCCGAAAATCTTGGACAAAGGGCTTACCTCTTGGCCCTCTTCAACAGGAGTGA